TAATTAGAAGAAAGGCTGCCTAGAACCTATTTCTAATAATAGATAGTATATGTGCGGAGCTTCTATTATAACAAGGACTTACTTCTCCATTATATTAAATCCAATATTCGTCACTAAATCAATCAAGAAATATGTCGCTTAAAAACATGAGTACTAACAAAGAAATTATTGGTGTGCAAGAACTTCGGCGAGATTTAAACTTGTTGCTAGAGTTGTGTAGGACAAATCAGAATACATGGTGTATTGAAATAATTCGACAAATTTAGTTAGTAGGTTAGATCAATTTCTTTTTGTGTTAGAAAGTTAACATTTTTTTATTTAGTGTCTTGTTTATTTAAAAATCGCTCTACTTTTTCTTTTTGTGTATTAAAATAGATTCTATCCAATTTGTATTAGTATTCTTACTGATATTTTTTGGGTCTGTTTCCACAATAAATAGATTTTGGTATCAGCTTGAAAACAAGCTTTTACTAAGAAAAAATTTTAATTTTTTCGTCTTTCTCTCTCTCATTGGATCTGGCTACCAACTGATTAGTGTAATTATTACTTAATTAGAATTCAATTATTATCATATACTAGATAAATGTCCACAAAAATTACGACAACAGTGGTCACGTCAGTTGATCCTTTGTTTTGGGCTGAAATTTTGTATGATGGTGGATTAGAACGGGAACCACGTGCAGTATTTCGATGGTTAACCGTTGCCGTATGTTCGATTGGAGTGGCAGGTAATTTGATATTTTTCATTAATATATTACAGATGTGTCTGAATGTGCTCTTTATTTAAGGTAACATATTAGCTATATGTACATTGTTACGTTGTCACATGCGTAAGCTATCCACTTATGCATATTTAACAGCATTATGCATATCAAATACGTTAGCATCAATATCTATTATTGTATTTGAACTCGATGTTCTATTTCAACCGAATCATTTCGTCTGTATACTGCTATCAATTTCAAAATCAATGGCTGTTAGTATGTCCGCTTTGTCAACATGGTGAGTTGTCTACCTTATAATAAGAGAATTATAGGACAATTTTATGCAGATCTACTTGCAAAAGAAAAAAAAAGATTATAAAATAAATATTGGAGAATTGTTATCTTAAATTTTATCTGATTAATACAGAGGATTTAAAAATGTACAAAACTAGTGCTCTAGTTTACTATATGACATATTATAGATACAGATAGAGTAGTTACAGTTACCGTTCCTAGCGACTGAAACACTTTTATAATCACAATATAAAAACATTAACACTTATTCAATTTAAATGCTGTAATAATCTGCTTTAGTTCAGCTTATTGACTTGTTTTCTCTATAAAAAAAAATACAAATATACATTATTTTTATACGACAGCCTACATTGATTATAGAAAAATCAACACGATTTTATATCTCTGAAGGATGTAACATAAGGATAAAATAGTTCCAATGACTAGGAACAATGAGAACTGAACTGTCTCACACCCTGCTTACAGGCGAATGTAGTATAGACTGCAATACAACAATTTCAAATATTCACATTTCGAGAATTCGAATCCTTTAATGATTTTAAGGCATCACTGTAGATTGAAGAGATAGGACGAATATGATGACTAATTTGAAAGCTATATAATATCATGTAAGACGACATAAACGAACAACTTTAGTATAAAGATTAACATTGATAAATCTACTTTAGGATAACGGTTGCATTCATGATCGATCGTTATATAATGATATGTAAACCGTTTAAAGGTGAAAAACTATGTACTCGAAAACATGCGTACTTTGTCATTGGATTTTGTTACGCCATATCATTAATTTATTTGATACCACAATTATTAAGTCATACATGTTATAACATTCCTGGTCTATCGTATGAAACAATGTCAAATGAGACAGATATATTGCATGAATCATTGTTACCTCAATTCTACATATCGAGTTTATCTACATTTGGTAAAAATTTAGCAACACGTTTAATCATTACTTTATTTGTCAATTGTATAGTACTTCGACTACTTCCATTTATAATTGTATTTAAACTAAATTATCATTTAATCAAGACTTTATCTCGTTCTAAACGTCGACATCGTCAAATAAATCCATATGAACAAAAACGAAACGATGTCACATTTATGATTATTATTGTCATTAGCATTTATCTAATATGTATATTTCCATCAATACCATTTTCCATTATGTTTTCATATGATCCAGACTATTTTGTCCGAATGTCGACAAAATATCGTATTTTACAAAACTTTGATGAATTTTCAAAATTTCTAATGATATTTAACAGTGCAATACAATGTTATTTATATATATTTTTTGGTAAACGTTTTCGTCGTGAACTATGTAGATTATTGTGTTCATCACTTCTCACTACGTCACCAGAATCTAGCTTTGAAAATGGTGAATATGAACTCGTATTAAGTGGAAAATTTTCATTTGATAATGAACAAGATTATTTATCATCAATTCGATTTAGTTTTGATCATCCGAGACGATGGAGTCGATTAACAACTTCGACAATAAGTTCAGATGGGACAGAGATACATATAAGCTTAATGAAACAGTTAAAAAATGGATTTCAACAATTATTTAGCCGGTTAAGATCAATTTATTTGTAAAAAAAAATTCTCTTTATTATTTTCTACGAGTCTAATAGTGAATTTAATATCCGTCCAAAAGCACATTGCTCGGTTTTCTTTATGTCTTCAATATATTTTTAAAAAGTCATTGTAATTCAAATAGTATTTAGTCTCGTGTTTTAACGTTATCAAGATCAGTGAAATCAGGTAGATGCAGTGATATCAGGTAGATGTACATTTAAGCAGTCGAATAAAAGACTATTTAATCCATATAGGATGTTAGCCACTGACTAATAACAGAAATAAATTTTACATATTTTCATGTCTCAGTTCGTAGTTCATAGATAACGTATCATCTAAGATTGAGTTATCAAAGAGTAATGAAGTTAATATCATTTACCGTAAGTTTAATTAGCGTTTAACATCTATCACAGATTGAATGAAAAGTAGATTCCTATACGCTGCAGAGGTGAACAATGGATGAGAATCTTTGCGAAGTATCGCGATTCCTCACAAGACGAGCCTCACGACTTTGAAAATTGGAATAGATAAGGGTACCACGTGGGCAACCTTGCGGGGAGTTTCTTTTCTTGTTACGAAGAACGGAATTTGGATAGAATTTTTTTGCGTAACGCTTAAAACGAAAAAAAATATACATATTTTGTGCATGTGACGTCTACCGTATGGAGAATAGTTTCCGTAAGTGGCGATAAGTTCTTCAGTCCTTAGACTCTTTTAATAGCCTTTTTTTTATACAGAATAAAAGAATATCTGTTCCAGTTATAACTGTTCTACTTAAAAACCGGAACAATAATCAGATTCTTTACAAAAACTGTGTTATAAGTGACCTTCAATGCACTTGATACACTTAGTATTGTGAAAGAAATAAACAACAGTGAACGAAGACACCAGATGTAGAGCCAAAAAAAGAAGTTTAAAATGTATTTGAAAAATTCTGAAAATGATAGTAATGATGGTGAAATTTCACACTGTAGAATTTAAAAGTACTTTTTAGGAGTTAAAAGTTAAATACTTATAATTTGATTTAACATTTATAACTAGAGCTAAAACCTCTTACTTTAGTTGCACATGAACTGAGCACTGTCACGTAGTCATTGTTAGGCATGCACTGGTTATAACCGATAAATTTCACCTTGTTTCTGAAACGGATTGCATGAAAAGTATGCATATTAAAATTTCTCTAACAAGTGAATTTTTCAGAGCAAACATTACAAGATGAGCTATGGCGGAAGCCATTCATGTCTTCTATTTCGGCCGCACTGGCTTTTCGACGAAGAACCTTAAATCGGTTATAATCCATCATTGGACTTTTAAGAAATCTTCCTTTTATACGTATTGGATCAAGATGAAGATTACTCTCATAGCTCATCTTGTAGAAAAATGTTTACTCTACAAAACTCAGTTGTTAGAAAAAATTTAGAAAATCAATTTCAGTTGAGAAAAATCTTTTTTGCGAAAAACGCACACACTTTCAATCGGTTATAACCGGTGCGCGCCTAGTGATTGTTCAATAAGGATATAACGAGATGAATATATACGGAAAAGTAAAGTCAACAAAAACAGCATGCAGGAATAAAATCTCGATTAGTTCTGCAAGAAGAGTATCAATGGCATGAACAGGCAAAAAGGAAAGAAATCGAATCAAGTCTATTTTTATGCACCCATTGCCGAAACCATTTTATCTTTGCAAAATCCACATGGTTAAAATTATTTTAAATTTCCAACTAAAATTTGTTGCGTTTTCATTTTCAAAGAGTTGTAGTTCCTATTATCCTTTTCACATTATAAGATCGGTAGCTTTTTTCTAATAATGCGAGAACAAAAGGTGATAGAAACTTGCTGTTCTTGTCAGACCTTAAAGCATTTATTCATTCATAACCAAAATAAATGTGAAAACATGTCTCAAAAACCGACTTTTCGAAAATATTTAGAAAACTGCGCAATCTAATTCTGTACTTCAAACTAGTAAAAATCAATTTTTCACCAGAGACAATTTCTAGAAAAAAACATCGCAACTGTGTCTTTTTTTCTTTTGCTCTGGTATCCACTGAACATAGCGAAGGTATCACACATTCCACTATAGCATGTTCTGCACAGATCAACAATAGTAACCAAGTTTAAATGTTTCATTGAGAATATCCAACTTTACCTTAAAATCATACTTTTATTTAAATTACGAGAGAAAATCTGAGAAACATTGTTCTTTTTGCGGATCGAACACGTTTTGGCTAGAGATTAGATGAATCGCGCATTTCAGTCAAATATTTTCGGTAAAAGATAGATAAAACAGCAGGACGTAGACATACGCAGGAAAAGTCTGCCGTTACGTTTTGCGTGGATTTAGGTTTTTAGGTCCATTGGAATGCTGATGGAAGTTTCAGAACAGCTTCACATTTATTCTATTAATCATACAGTATCCATGCTTGGAATGATTTCAAAAGGGCTGATTTTAGCGTGGGGGGGGGGGGGGGGGGGGGGGGGGGGGGGGGGGGGGGGGGGGGGGGGGGGGGGGGGGGGGGGGGGGGGGGGGGGGGGGGGGGGGGGGGGGGGGGGGGGGG